TTTGACTTACAGCATTCTAGGGTTTCTCTAGCCCACATTTCCAAACCTTTCCAAACTCCTCTCACAAGCCATTGCCAAAGCCTTCTCAACTACATGGCTGGATAGTCACAGAAACAATACTACTTTTCTGGTACCAAAGCCTGTCTTAGTCACTTTTTTTTTTTAATCATCAGGACAAAATACCTCACACTCAGAACTTCAAGGAGGAGGTTTTTATTTTGGCTCACATTTCAGAAGTCTCAGTTTATGGTCATTAGGATAAAACTCAGAAGCAGCACGGTGGAAAGACCTGCCTGCGAGCTCAGCTGCTCACTGCCTGTTGGCCAGGAAGAAGAGCACGGAGGGGTTATGCTCCCAGGGCCACACCTCTTCCTACCAGGCCCCGCCTCCCAACAGCACATCCAGCACTGAAATCATCCTTGGATTAATCTGTTGAGTTCAGTACCTCCATGATCCAGTCACATTGCAGACCTCCGAGCACATGAGCCTTGGGACAGAGATTCCAGATGCATACCACACAGTGATCCTGAATAGCAATTGCATATTTGCATAAAGTCGTCGTAAGATTTGAGGTGGGATGGTACCCAACACATATGTAACATTCATGGTGCTGGCAGTGTTTTTATACTGTGCCTAATACTTCTTCTACCGTATTTTCTACAGTTACCACTACTACTACTGCCATTCTTACTGTCGTTGTGCCTCAGCAGGCACCTCTGATTTACAGTCAGGAGAAATAAACACCTACAGTATACGGTAGCAGTACCTGTAGGGAGATACTGAGAGTACCCACATCTGCTGGGAAATTGAGATGGCTACCCAAAGCAGACACCCCAGCTTCTGACAGTCCTGTAGGATATGCAAGGAGCCAGCACATTCCTCCGCACCTCTTTGCCCTATCCAGATCTTTCCCCTTTTATCCTGGGGCAAATGTGCCTTAGTTTGAGATTCATAATACCACCACTGCTTTTCATTTACCACATTCACAGAGGCCTATGACACCCGAGTTCATCCTGCTGTCCTACTTAGTAACAACATGTTCCATGGTTGAAGTGAGCATAGACTTTCAAGCCTGCATACTTCAGTTTGAATTCTGGGTCTGCTACTTGGTTGTGAAATCTCTGACAAGTTATTTAATCTCTCAGAGCCTACAAAGTGGGGGTGGTATCTACCTCAGGGGTGGTTTACAGATTAGTGAGCACTGTCTGACCTCCAGTTAGGGCTCAGGAAGTGTTAGTCAGTGTCCCATGGTCAGCAACACAGGGGAGGCTTGGAAGGAGCCAGATATGCTCACACTCACCATGATTATCTTTGTCCTTGACTCCACCATTCTCACCTGCATGGCACTTGAGGGACACTCACCCCACAGGCTGCCCTTGAGTACCCATCATGTGACTGCAATAGCTCTGAAATGTTTAACTGTGCAGTAACCCTTTCTTACCATCACTTAATGTCTTCCCGGCTTTTTTCTTCCTTTCCATTCTCTAGCTCTAGATGCATTAAAACCGCTGTTATCCAGATATACCTTCCTCACACCACTTTTCTGAGTCTTAGGAGAAATGGTTTCTCTCTTGTCCAAAGCCAATCTGAACTCCTATACTTTTACTTGAAGCACTTTGTTTCTTTCTATGATCTGTCACTATCTACTATTTTTCAGTCTCTTCCTTTAATTTCCTACAACCCGACTGTATTCTCTCTTCTGTCCCTCCCTGTGCCTCCACCTCTCTCTCTCCCTCTCTGTGAAAGTATAACTTCTAGAAAGGATGGCGTTTAGTCTACTCGGTCTACTTCCTCACATCTCCCTCTTCCACGCCTCACTCTTCTGGCACAGTGATCCCAATTTCTTCCCACTCCTCTTCCGGGAGCTTCCTAAAAGAGTTCACCAGTGACCCCTCTACAAACACAGTGACAAATAGGGATAGGATAATTCAGCAGATTGGAGATTTCGCCCAATTTCTAGAGGAAGAAAGTACTTGCGGTGTTGTGGCCACCGCAGCAAATGGAATGTCAGTTTCTATGTGTGCTTGCCCAGGGGAATGCAAGTTTACCCCTCCCTCCCTTATGAAAGCTGAGGTTGTAACAGCAGGGTGGGACATTGAGCAGAAATGGTAGGTCTCACTTAGCAAAGGCACCAATCCAGAAAAACAAAACAAAGAAGACCACAGATAATAATAACCTTTGGAGGTTCTCCTATGAAGGGAAATTTGTGTAATCATCCTGCGCATAAACCTGTTCCTTACTCTTCTGATCAGTTTTACAGTACTGTTTGAATATTGAATGGATAAATAAACATCACCAGATACTTAAGAAAAGCCTTCAGTATAGAGAGCAAAACAAACAACCACAACAAAGAGAGGTACCCTTCATCAAAAGACATCATTAAAAGAGATTGCTACGTATCTTACAATTAAGTGTGGTAAAATGTTAATGAAAGAACCCAGCTGGTGGATTACCATTCCAACATTCCTTCAACTTTACTGAGTATTTAAATCTTCTCTTCATAAATTTTGGGGAACATTGGTAGAAGAGATGAAAGATAAATAGAAGATAAAAAAGATGAAAAATTGAAGATTTTTAAAATGAAGAGGCATTCTATGTTCATGGGTTTGGAAAATTCAACACAGTAAAGATGTCATTTCTTCCCAAATTTATATTCAGGCTTTAAAGCAAGCAGTTCCTATCAAAATCCTAGCAAGTTTTTTTTAATAGATATAGGCAAGATTATTTTAAAGTCTATATGAAAAAATAAAGCAAGTAGAGTAGGTAAAACCATTTTAAAAGAGAATAACAAGGTAGAAATCATGCTACTAGATTTCAAGACTGTGTACACACACACAATATGTGTGTGCAATATACTGCAATATACCACATGGTATTGGCAGTGTTACATGCGCAAATCAATGGAAAAGAATAGTCAACCCACACAAGTATGGCCCGTGGATTTCTTACAAAGGTACAAAAGCAAGTCAATAGAAGAAATGTGGTCTTTTCTATGAAATCAAACCAGTTCTTCTGCAAAGAACCCTTTTAAGAGGAAGAAAAGAAGCCACAGGCTAGGGGGCAATGCTTCTAAGCCACATACCTAACAAAGGACTCGAGTCTTGAATCGGAGAGCTGCTGCAAATAGAGTACTTGAACTGAGAATCTGCGGGTTGCAGGAAATGAGGTCCAGCAAAAGACAGAAATGACACACACTCAGCAGACTTATGGGGACCAAAGAGAGGATGGGCGTGGGGGTAGGTACATCTCAGAAGATTTTCTTTTAATATTTGAAAATAGTGTAAGTGACACCTCTAATGAAATAGGCTGATGGGTACTTGAGGCCAAGGAAGAAGAAAAAAACAAATATCAGCTTTCAGAGAAACAAAAGAAAAATGCAGCAGCAAAAGCATCCACATAGTTATAATAATAATATTTGATTAATAAGTGATTAATCATTTCTCTCTTTTTTTTTTTTTTTTTGGTACCAGAGATTGAACTCAGGACCTTGCACTTGCAAGGCAGGCATGGTGCCGCTGAGCTAAATCCCTGGCCCATAACTGATTAATCAAAGATTAATCAAAGTGGTGTTATATTTGGAAATAGAGGGCTGGGAGCTATAAAGGAGATAAACTTATGACAAAAAATCAATCCTTAGTATCTAAAATCAGTTAATCACAAAATAACAGAATTTTTTCAAAATATAGGATTCTATTTTGGACCAGGAAAAGACTATGAGTGGACAGTGTTTTTTTCTGGACAGAGTTTTGGAGTCAGGATAGAGGAACAAGTGGCTGTTTTTTTTGTTTTGTTTCGTTTTGTTTTAACAGATATGTGTTTTATATTTTTAAATGTGCCTTTAAAGCTCAAAGCATAATTCATCACAGAAGGCAAATCTCTTGGTCAAGCTATCAGTGGCACTACAGGAAATCATTTGTTTCTAGGTGGTAATGAATCCAGGTATCATTCACTAATACCAGTGAGTGTCCACCCCCAGTGTCAGTGGTGGAACCTGGCCTGCCAGGTCCTTTTAAAATAGACATTGTTCGATCCCTGGTACCAAAAAAAAAAAAAAAAAAAAAAAAAAAAAAAAAAAAAAAAAAAAAAAAAAAAAAAAAAACCAAAAAAAAAAAAAAAAAATTAAAAAAAACAAATAAAAATAAAAAAATAAAATAGACACAGTTCCCAGCCTTCGTGTCACCTAGGCTGGAGGACAGCCAGAAGTCTCGGAGAAGACCCGGATGTGCCCTTGCCCCATGAACCTCGGGCCTGCGGAGGCTGAGTCACCTGCCGTCCAGGCCCTCATTTCTGCCGCTGGATGTGAGAGTAACCTTCCAAGGTTTCCTGAGGAAGGGCAGCCGTGCACGGCATGTGCCTAAAAAGGGTGTGCCGTACAGATGCTCAAAATGAGGGTTCTTGAAAAAGGAAATAACTGTGAGCAGGGAAGGCTCCGACGTGCAGGGATCTGCATTTTCAGTGCTATGCAGTTGTTTTCAGCCAGGATCGGGACTGTTGGGACTGAAGGGACTGAAGGGAGCAGGTGGGGAGAATTTTCTGCTCGTGGCCCAAATTCATACCGAGGGCTTTTTCCGTTTCCTTGGAGCACTTCTGCAGAACAGAGCAGTCCTGTATTATAACTTTTTTATAGAACTCCAATGATAAAAAGGTCATAATTTGTTGTAATGATGCTATAATTAAGTTGCGGTAAATGATAGCATTTGTAGATTTTATAACCAGGATTGATTCATAAAATGAATGCAGTCCCAGCAGTTTATGTTAACATAATTAAATGGAAATGTAATTCTAACTCAGTTTGCTTATTAAATTGAAAATTACTAGGTTATGAGCACTCTTACATTTCTGTCAGAATTGGTGTAAGTCTAAAATTACATGAAATATCCATTAAAATAAAGCATATTTAAGGCTCTGTTGCTGGTGGCGAATACAGCGTGCAGGCTGAGCGAGCAAGGCAGGTACTTTCTCTGAGGCCCTGGCTAACACCTTCTCTCCTTCCTCCGCAGCCCCTGGTTTAGCACTGCGGCTAGGACAGAGCATGGCCAGGTAAGGCCCGGTCCCTTCCAGACGGAAGTTATTCTGTCAGACATTTACCCGTCTCCCTTAAAGACTAAAATTTCTGACATATTTTGAAAGGAACTCCTTGCACTTGGGCAGACCAATAAGCCACATCTTCCCTCACCCACCTTCCTGAGCCACAGCCGTGTCCCACAGAAAGGCCATGCAAGGCACTGGTTGGTAGGGCTTCACTATTTACAAATCGTTTTCACAGAATCAAGGTATTAAAGCAGTATATATATATGCTTAAAATTCAATTTATATTTATACAGAAATGCAAATGAAACCCAAGATCCGCCAGCTTGGGAATATTTTTATTGACATTTAGAAGGTGGCAGTTGTTTCTTACAAGTTTACACTGTGTCGCTCAGTGAATTTTTTGAAATCTCTCACTGGTATTCACGACCACACTGCCATTAACTGACTTTGCAAGAACTTGACGTTCATTTCTGTTGTCTTCACGTATTGAATCAGTAGCATGCGTTCTTTGTTTCTTAAATGTACTAGTTACCCCTGAAGCAAGCTAAGGTAATTTAGGGATTAAATCTGTGGTAATTTTTAAAATATATACCTTTTAGGGTTTGACTCCTTCCAAGATTTTTTCCTATTAGAATTATAAAAGTTGCTTTTTTAATGAGGTGATTTATAAGAAAGTGTACTTTTAAAATGCGTGAGAATGTTGAACCCCAAATTCTTGGAGATAATTTCTTCATAGGAGTCAGACACGGTAATTGTGATTGGTAACATGACTCTGTTCGAGATGTTTGATGTCTGAACCAGGGTGAGTTTCCAAATTGGGTGCAAATGCCCTAGGCCCCCTGGTTTAAAAGGGAAATGCCACATTCTTCATTAGAACCTGTGCAAGCGACGCAGGAACCTTTCAGAGACAGGGTGCCCAGACTGCCATCCAAAACCCACTTACTTATCGCAAAGAACCATCACTGCAATTCAGCCTGAATACTGAGGTTTTAGTTTCAAAAAAAAACAATTTGTTCATTAACATCTTAAAAGAAAAGCAAATAACACACATGCCATAGGTTCACCACCACTGACCTATACTTTTTGCTTGCGAATTCAAATTCAGTTGTAATAATGACTTTTTATGGTGCCTTTTTCCACGAGAGTAATTTGCCCCTTAAAAGAGACTGCTCACATTAATGTAGAATGTTTACTACTCTTCTTATAAATTTGGGACCTAAGCCATCACATTCATGAGGTGTTTATCTTATTATTCAAAATGCAAAACTTAGACGTTCTGCTTTCCCCAGGGGTTCATTACAGTGTTTGCTGGAAGACTGTGTGTTTACAGTAACTGTATTGAGTTGCATCTGGATATAGTCTGTCACAAAAAAATGATTTTTAAAGCTCATTCACTACCCTTCAGAATTTGAGAAATACTAATATGATGCTATAAATTCATGGTTTTGATTACTGTATATAATTTAAGCTTTGGCTTCTAGCCAAGCTTTATTGTGTAGTTAGAAATTAACTCCTCATGGCTTAGGCCGTGGATGTAGTTAAAGGTCTTGGTGAGCATGTGTGAGGCCCTGGTCTCAAGCTCCAGCACCTTCTTAAAAAAAAAAAAACAACATTAAATAATAGCCAATAACTATGATTATAAGGAAAGAACCCGGGGCTGCACTCAGGCCGGGTGAGCCTTCTACCACTGAGCTGCAACCCCGCTCCTGTTTGACGTTTTTCAGTTTTATAATCTTTTGAACCAGTGTTTAAACGGGCCTTTGGCTTATATGTCGGTGTAATATTTCAGATTTTTATCTCCAAGAGACAAGCTTTTCATTTGTAAATACAGATAACTTCTTCCCTTGTAGTAGTTATGCCCCATAAAGTGGAAGCAGAGCCAGATTACTGCCAGTGTTCTTAGGGGAAGTACAGGGTTAGGTTCCTTGCAATCTCCGCTCATATTCACCAAGAAATCAGTGTACGGCCTTGTTTTATGGGCTCTTTTGTTTCAGGATGCCTCGTGTAGTTTACAAGTCTTTGATTCATTAATACTGAGCTCAGGGCACACAGCACCATAATTCACGTGTGAATAAGGCTTACCTAAGCAGGATTTCTCTGCATGGCCCCTCACAACCCTCTGGGCTGGAGTCACTAGGCAGCACTTCGATACCATGCTTGAGGGCCACTGTAGAGAGTTACATCACCAACCAAAGCACAACAATGCAAGAATCATAATGCTGGGCAGGCCACCAAACCTCTTGTTTACAGCCTGAGAACTGCAACAAGACAGAGTGTCCCTGGGGACCTCAGCCAGGAACATGCTTTTCAGGTGTCTCAGGTATAGTCACACATCTGCAAACAGCTCCAGAGACACTGGAAGCATTGATTTTTGTGGGGCAAATAAATTTTAGCAAGTAGCTGAATTCACAAATACGGAATCTGTGAGTAATGAAGACCAGCTGTACATATATGTATATAAGTAAATTCTCAACACCTGCATTTTGAGATATGATCTTTTCCTACTTCCACTTAGACCTAACTACAGTACAGCAAACTGTTGGCTAATCCTAAATCCCAGGGATGAAACAAAACCATGAAGAATTGTGAAATCCTTCAATGTATTGTTGAATGAATGAGTCTTACCATGCATGATCACCTTTTATTTTTCTTACCAACTTAAAGTGATGATTTTTAACCCCACTCTTAAAAAACTACCCTTCACTACTCCCCATTTTATGACTCTTCTTTCTTGCTGTTATTTAGTGCTTAACCCCATTTCCATTTACATCCTGCATGGAGATCATGCCTTTATTGCACATTTATTAAAAGCTTATCAGCCATTAGGTACTCTCTGTATTTACAGAGAGACATATTTGTGGAAAACCACATGGCCTTTGCCCTAAGATAGTTGTAGTCTGGGCAGGGAAGCAGAAATTAGAGTATGTTGATAAATATTTGAGAAGACCATGGAGACAGTGTTATGAAGGCCAAAAAAGAAAAATCCCGAAGTCAGTTCAGAAGCGGAAGGAAGCGGGGGAAAAACTGTATGACACGTGTGTGGAGTGTGTGTGAGTGTGTGTTGTGAAATCCTGACACTTGACATGAGAAGGAAGCGGGGGAAACTGTATGACACGTGTGTGGAGTGTGTGTGAGTGTGTGTTGTGAAATCCTGACACTTGACATGCTGACTGAGTGTGCGAGTGCCTTATGGAGCCACGGTTCGCAGTTTAGCTGTGGTGCTCCTTTTCATGTTGAGGGCGAGTGCCAAAAGGCATTATCGGCAGGTGTTCGAGGAGTCACCCGAGAAAGGGCTGCTGGTCCAGACACTCCTGAGCCTGAATGCCTTGTCCATATGGGGTAGTAAAGAGAGGACGGGTAGGGGCTGAGGAGTCTGCTCTTTGCTTCCTCCTCTTGCAGGGGCATGAGACTTTTATTAATAATCTTGAAAATGACCACAAGTAGCAACAGGAATTCTTAGTTCCCTGTTTGTAACAATAAAAACTATTATCCATGAGGAATCCTTCTGCCTGGTTTAATTCAGCAGTTTCTTTAAATTGTGTGCCTAGATTTTACACTTATGGATTTTAATGTAATTCTTATATGAGTCATTTTTTAATATACATCTGCAGGTCACTAATAAGGGAATTGTATCTCCGTTTGGCCTAAGTCCAGCAATCTGAAAGTTGAAAGGTAAGAAGCACTTCGAACCATATTCAGAAATTCTAGTTTTTAATCAGAGGTGACATGAATTGAGTCAGAACCCTAAAAATGACCTCACTTGTGACACTGATAGAGTCCAAGAAACAGAACAGTTGCCAGTAAGAAGAATTTCTCAAACTCTGATGGGCTGCTTTTACTCGTATGAACAAAGAGACAAAGAGCAAGAATTTTTATTTCTTTTATTGTGAATCCATAATCAGATTTCATCTTTTTCAGAAATGTGTTGGGAGTCTTCCAAATACAAGTACATTTTCCGTTGTTCTGGTAACATCCTGACTTTTTTCACGGTGGCCCTTTAAAAGAGCTAGTTTGTGTATTAACTTGTTAGATTCATGTCCCAAAGATCTGAGTCTGTGTTTTTTTATCTGAGCTTCATGTTCACGTTGCAGAGACACAGCCAGATTTGCAATTTTCTTGATAAGCTGAAGTAGTTTTGTGATGGCTTTTTTATGTAGAGGCACTGTGTTCAATAGTTCCAATGTCTGTCTCTTCTTTTATACAAAGTCAATTAAAATCATTAACTTGAAGAAGAAAACACATTCTCCTGTAGTCTAACAGTGGAGCTGGAGCATCGCAGTTCAGAGGAGAGGCCGTCTCACATACGTTCATGTAGGTCGGGGTGGCGAATCTATGGCACGCGTGCCACAGCCGGCTTATTGAGAGCTCTGAAGGGTTCGCCATCACTGGTCCGGATGGTGGCTTCTCTGAAATCCATCTAGACCCATCAGATTTCATTACAGTCGCATTTTCCAAAACTAAACTACGAAGTCATTTCCTATTTCAGGACACTATTTCAGGAGATTTTGAATTGTTTAAACTGTTTTAACCCAAACTTGGGGAAAATGTTCAAATACCTGTGATTTATCTTAGAATTTGAAAAGTTAATTAACTACCATTAATTTAAGACAGGTAGAGATTTCATCATCTTTCCTCTAGCTATCTGTGTCACAAATGTTGGTTTGTATATATGCTCTTAAAGGCACTAGGCTTAGAAATGCCAAAGTAATTAATTTTTTTTATTTTCCGAAGCAATTTCATGTTCATGGTGCGAAGTGTTTCTAAATGGAAACACTTTCAGATTAATGGACTTAAGATAAATGCTTGCTATTTTCTATTAGCAGCAATAATGAGATATGGCTTCAGCTACTTATCAGATACCAGATCTCACTCCCGAGTTCATTACCTCATTCATTCATTCATTCCACAAATTTATTGAGTGTTAAAAATATTGTCGACGCAGTGGGGAACCCTGGTGTTGCAGGCAAACTGAGTGTGTGAAGCAGAGGGCCAGAGATGAGGCGGGTGTGGTACAGACCCAGACCGAAAGGTCCCCAGGGCTGGGATCTGTCACTCAGAGGTAAGGAGGTCAGAGAGACGGTGGGGGAACATGATCAACTCAGACGTCAGAGATACAATCAGACTGTGAGGGTCCGTGAAAGCCTTGTATAGTTTGGGGTTTTATCTAATTAATTCTGGAAAGCTAGGTTGGCTGCAGTGTAAGGAGGAAAGTGGGGGCAGCGTGGCTGGACAAGGCCATTTGAGGGGCCCATACAGGTCAGGACAAGGGCAGAAGCAATGGGGATGGGTGGGAGGAAGTAGGTGTTCGGGAGAAGTTTGAGATACACTCACAGTTAAGGCCTTTGTGGAAGAAAAATTTAGCTATCTTCTTGGTGATCAGAGATCTTTTACTTCTCCAAAATGATGAAATAATTGAATAATTGATTCTAAATGGTGCCAAGGAACAGTTCAGTTGTCCTTCATCCAAAGTTGTTTCTATTGGTCAGACAGTGCCCTGGCCAACCGGGCTCATCCATTAGAACCACAGTTGTAGTCATGGCCGCAGCTGTAGTACTTAAGCTGTATTCTCAGCGTCTCCTGTGTTCCTGTGTCACAGCGCTAAGCATTTTACGTGGTTTATCTTATTTAATACTCTCGGCAGCCTTCTGGGTAGATAGTATTGTTATCTCTGTTTTCCAGGTGGGACGAAGGCTTAGAAAGGTTAAGTACCTTGGCCTAAGGTTACATGGTTTGTACAAGGTAAAGCTATCATCGAAACCTAGCGACTCCTGAGTTATTGGCACAGCTGGGATTGGAACCTGGGTCTCTCTTGCATTATTACTTTTAAGAATTCCATTTTGGTTAGGGTTAATTTCTAATAGACTGGATAACTTTTTTTTTTAGCCCAGCCTTGCATATAATCACATACCTGCATGAAAAAGATAAGGTACAGTTTCGGTGAAAACAGGGAGAAGAGTACTGACTCCCTGTTTTTTTCTTTGCCATTAGTTAGAACAAAACAAAAGTAAAGGGAAGGTGATGGGGAAGCATTCGGGGGAGCAATTGGAGATATATATATATATTTTTTTCTAGTTATATATTTTCAAACCTATAATTTATTGGACAGACCTATTTAGTTTATCTCCTTACACCAGTAAGCCAGTAGGCACAAGAGAGTACTATTGGCTTTTTCACATCTGCACAGGTGCCCTACCTCCAGATCGTCACAGCTGGAGGCCCTGGGCAAGGCCACAGATGAGAGGCAACATTACCCCTGCCTGGGCCACTGGAGGACCAGGACACAGCTGAGTTCTGGACAGCCAGTCCTGCGCTCCCGTCACTTGACTGGGACTCGTGGACAGCCAACTTTCACTGACATTTCTACAACAGGGACAGTGGCATCTGTAGCAAAGGCAGTAGTCTTTGCCTTAAGAGAAACTAATGGGGGAAAGAAAAGGAATGCTAAGTGAACAAATTAGTGTCTCTTTGAATAAGAAGAATATTTTTCTCCTTGCAAAATATTATAATGAAAATATTTTTATTTTTACAATTTTGTCTTAACATTTTGTATAGCATCAGCTTCTGAGGGATAACCGAGCTGAACGAGGACACAGGAAAAGCTGTTCAGGGAAAACAGCCAGCAGGTAAGCCCTGCAGTCACTTTAAATTCTCCTCATCCATCCTGTGCTGCTCTGAATGTGGTGAGATGTGTTTGTGTTGTCTTTTGGTTCTAAAAAGCTGCATTCAGATATTTATTGTTCACCAGAATCTATTTCAGGATTGCTATTAATACCATTTTCTGTGTATTGCTTAAACATTCTGAAAAACAAAGAATGAATATTTACAAGAAAATTCCTGTCTCTTAAGACTAATGTACTTGACAGGGCCGGGGATGCAGCTCAGCGGCACCACACCTGCCTCGCAAGCACAAGGTCCTGAGTTTGATCCCCAGGACCAAAACAAACAACAACAACAAAAGCACAAAATACTAATGTATTTGAGATCTGCCTTTAGCAAAAGTATTTATTTTTTAATTTTCAAAAGGTAAAATTAGTCATTTCTGCTAAAGTTTAAATAGTAGTTAGATCTTACTAAGATAAATAGTAGTTAGATCTTACTAAGATATATATATATATCCTAGAAACATATAAATGAGTAAAGACTGGGGAGGAAGTAGTCTCTTTTAAAAGTGCATGTAAGGCATTTTATGTTGCTAAGTCCATGGTATTTTTCCTCAGTGCAAAGGATCTTCTGCAGTTTACTGTTTTAGACAGTATATTTTCAAACTTTGTAAGTGATGTTTCTGAAGATTTTATTTTTATTTAGATGAAAGTGGCTGCATGTTTTCTATGGCTGTGTCTAAATGTCCTGCCAAAGCCTCACGTGGTCACAGGTGGCGCTTTTCAGAGGTGGCCAGATCTGGGGTGTATGATGCTGGGATTGAGGGTGCCCTGTTGTGAGTGCTACCTGCCCTAAGGGTGTGTAGCCTGGATGGAACATAAGTACAGAAAGAGGGTAGGACCCTCACTTGCTCCCTTCTGCCTGCTTTGCCGTCTCTGCAATGCCCTCTGCCATGCCATCCTGTCTTGGAGCCAGCCAACTATGGATTGAAATGTCTACAAGCTGTGAGCTAAATAAACCTTTCCTCCTTTAACTTTGAGTGTCAAGTATTTTGTCTCAGCGATGAGAAAAGTAACTAAGACAACACTCATGCCCAAATATTGATCGGAACTACTGCCTCAAGAGTTCTACTTAATTTTTTTTTTAATATAAAATACTGGCCTCAGCAGCCACCCTGGCATCCAGAGATTTGTCGGGGTTACGGTGCCAGCCACAGAGATTAGCACTGCCCGGCGAGTGGGCTGACCTCGTAGTCCCAGGCTATATGTCCAGCCCAGTGTAGATGCCACTAGGTACCTGCAGAAGCAACTGCAACTCCCACATACCTAATTGAGAAAATCAACGCTTGCTAAACATAAAGTGAGGTGATTCACCACTCATGAGAGTCAGCATAAACACTAATACGTCTGCCTCTAAGAACGTTAGGACCTAGAATTATTATTAGATATAGCACCTATAGATGATATGTACAGAGAAAGAAATTGCTGCAAGCAGTTAGTGAACTGGGGCGTACAGTACATCTGAAGAAAGAAGCCAGTGTAATACAGCATAAAATTCAGAGTTGAAAAAATGGAAGAACAGATAAGAGATGCACAAAAGAGCTAGGAATAAATTTAATCAGAATCCGGGCCAGAAATTTAGCTCATTGGTTCTGCTGCCTGCCTCACAAGCACAAGGTCCTGAGTTCGATCCCTAGTACCCCGTACCAAAAAACATTTTTTAATCAGAATCCTTGTCCAAAGGAATGGAAGGGCTGACGAAAACATGACACTGGCAGAGTTAATGACTAAGACTTTCCCAAACTGGTGAGACTTAGAAATCCTTGGATAGCATTCAGTGTGTTCAGTGAATACCAAATAAAATAAGAAAAGGGAAATCCAGAAAAAAACAGCAAACTGTATTACAGCAAAGACAAATATAAGATCTTAAAACAACTTCATAGAGAAAAGAAATTGTCCACAAAGAAATGACATCAAGAATAAGACTAGAAGACAGAGGAACCTTCTCCAGAATATGGAAAGAAAAATACACTGTCGCCCAGAACTGTGTGCCCAGAAGAGCGTCTCTGTGTGTGAAGGTCAAATAGCATCTTCATAATACTTCCAAAAAATGGGAAAGTTTACTACTAGTACAATTTTGTCAAAAGGGTTTTTAAGGATATATTTCAAGAAAACAACTTCCAAGGAAAGTCTAAGATGGAAAAATGGATACTGAATCAATAAATTCACAAAAACTTTATCTAAACTATTGCTTATATAAAAAGATAATTATACCTCTGGAAAATGTATGATTTTGTATCAATTTAAAAATAAAGGAATTCAAATAATAAAATTATAGTTTATAGGGTTCTGAAGGATATAATATAAAATTGTGGTCAGTAGTAGCATGTCAGATTGGCAGTGTTGGGGATTTAAAACTCCAGGCTAAAGTGTCCAGATTGCTCTGAATGTTTACTTTATTGGTCAGTGAGACCATGGACACTTAATAAGACCATATTGAGTATTCATTGATCAAACTTCAAAAATAATTATTAACTTGAAAATGGGACCCAGAAAACGTAAAAATTAGACAAGCAGATCATATCCATGTCTCAGTGACCACAACAAGGGTCTGTGGAGCAAGCTTCTCTGTTAGAAACAGAGCTAGCCAGATTAGATTTTCTTAAAACTCCAGCTCTGTGTTTTATTAATAGGGGACACCTGAAATATAATGGCATGGAAAGCTGGAAACCCAAAGGATAGATAGAACAGGTTATGCCCGATAACACCTGTAAAGAGAAATTTTCCTGTCACCATTCATCAATGAAAGATTCAGTTCACCTGAAGATTAAGTAATCTTATTAGTGCTAGTAATAAAATTAGCCTCCAAATGTATAAAGCAAGCATCAATAGCAATACATCCAAAAGCCCTACTGGCCAGGGTCACAGTGGTCCCAATGCAATGTAAATCTCAAATTATTTATAATCTAAGTCAGCAGAAAATGTAAAAACTGAAAGTTTATATTACACAAAAGTAGGAAACTTAAATTAATGAAATTAAAGAAAATACCATGTCTGAACTATTTTAAAAAGCACCCTTTTCTCAAACATATGGGGAATGATTACAAGATTATTCCACGTGCCCGGTTGTATTACTAATAGTACCAAGAAACTGTAATGCCTCATAAAGAACATATTACCTGACCTGACTGTTAGAAATCAGTCATAAGAATATATGTTTCACAGAGTGTGGAGTTAAAAAAATATATTCCTGAGAAATTTGTTTTCAAATGAAAAAAATCATGATATTGAAATATGTGTGTTGCAGTAAGATGGCAATTGGAAAAAATTATACTGCCTTCAATATTCATGGTGTAAATCTGGTTCCAGTCCCTGTTCCAATCAAGATTCTGAGCTATAAGATTACTGACTGCCACCCTGTCCCAGGAGAAATTAAAAGAGAACAGAGAGCAGCAGGGATTCCATGATGTTTCGGGGCTCTTTCTGAACTTGGAATGTGCAGTGGGATGGCTTTGGCGTGAAGCAGGAGGGGAGACTCTGGAGTGTTGTTGTTGCTTTGGGATGGGCAGAGGGCACCTGTCCCACACAGAACACCGGGTCCATGTGTCTTCAAAGATAAGCCGGGGGTGGGCTCACAGTTAGGTTTGTGAGGAACTTAGAAAGCTTGGTGGAACTAGATGGCAGATTATAATGTCTTTAGTCCAGCTGGAGAATTCCAGCACACATCTGTCTTTCTGGGACCCCAGCTATGGTTTGAGCTGAGGTGTGTGGCCAGACTTTGTGCTCTCAGGGTCACAGCCCAACACTGAACTGCTCCAGGCGCAAACAGACCAGACAGTGGGCCTTCCCGCTCCCCCATTACCTGACAGAGGCCCGTGTTCCGAGAGGACAATGAACTCATGGGCTAACATCATAGGACATTCTGGGAGAGAAGCCTGTGCAAATATATTAGATTATAATTCAAACAAAGACAGAAATATTAGCACAAGTGAGTCAACAGCATTAAAATTAGCTTAATAAATATTAGCTAAAAGATTTACAGGAAGTTAATAACAATATAAAGCAAGAAAAATAACACATAAATAAAAACCAGATAAGCATAAGTCTCTAAGACCTGTATAACTGGAGAGATATGCCTTGTTCGTGGGTCAAAAGGCAAGATATTCTTTTACGTTTAGTTCCCTTAACTTCTCTATATGTTCAATAGACTCTAACTCAAAATCCTAACAGGCTATTTTGTAGAAATGGACAAGCTTCTTCCACATTTCATATGGAAATGGAAAATGTCTAGAATAGTCAAAAGAACACTGAAAAGGAAAGTTGGAAGGCTGACATGACCTGATTTAAAGACTTATTACAAAGGGATAGTAATGCAGATAGTTTGATATTTGTGTCAAGATTTTAAAAAAACATTATTAGAATGGAATAGAGGTCAGGAAGTATGCCTCCTCTCTCTCTCACACACACACACACACACACACACACACACACACGTGCTAAGGTACAAAAGCAATTCAGTGGAAGAAGTTCGTGATCGTGGAACAATTGGATAGTCATTTGCAATAGAACAAAAAAGATTCTCAGCCCATAACTTACACCTCCTGATGTGTGTGTGCCAACTTGCCTGGGCAGGAGTGCCCTGAGAGCTGGTGAAGGGTTACCTCTTAAAGTGTGTGTAAGAGATCAGCGTTTAAATCAGTAGACTAAAGATGGCCTTCCCCAGTGCGCATAGGGATCATCCAGTCCAGTGAGGTCCACATAAACAAAAAGGCAGAGGGAAGGTAAGTTCTTTCTCTCTTCTTGAGCTGGGATATCTATTTCTTATGCCCTCAGACGCTTGTGCTCTTGGATCTCGGGTACGTACACTCGGACACAGAACCCACACTGTGAGCCTCCCCCCCGGGTCCCAGCCTTCCACTGGCACGGAGTCACTCCCCTACCTCCCTAGGTCTCCACTGTATAGACTGTAGGCCCTGGGAATTCCTCACCTCGGTAACCCGGTGAGCCGATTCACCTTTGCTGTG